ATCGTCCACCTGTGGCCTTACTCCCAAGTCGACCCTTGTTCTTTAGCTGTTCCCTTTGTCTGGCAACTGCGCATGCGCACACAGGGAACAGGCTCCAGCTGTTCCTCTGCCTCACTGATGTCTGACTCTGAAGGAAGCTGATGGTTGGCATACGACCCTGGCCCCCTTTCTGCCTCTGACGCAGAGCCCTCATCAGAGCTTCCCCCAGACTCCCAAGACTGGCCCATGTACCTCCCCAACCTCCTCACTGTCCGAATCTGCTGCCAGCTCCACTGGCCACTGGCAGGCCACAACACTGTGTTTTTCTTTTACCATTTCCAGCAGAAGCCACTATCTAGTTGCACTCTTTAAAAATATAGGTCCCCAGCAACATTATACAGGCAGTCCTTGACTTACAGCAGTTCATTTACTGACAGACACTTGGCAATTGACTCATTTATGATGGTTGCACTGCCTCAGGGCTTTTCACGACCTTCTGACAAGCAAAGTCAATGGGGGAGTGCCGAAGTGGCGCAGTGGTTAGAGTGCAGTACTGCAGGCTACTTCTGCTGACTGCCGGCTGCCTGCAATTTGGCAGTTCGAATCTCACCAGGCTCAAGGTTGTCTCAGCCTTCCATCCTTCCGAGGTTGGTAAAATGGGGATTCAAATTGCTGGGGGCAATAGGCTGACTCTGTAAAACCACTTAGAAAGGGCTGTAAAGCACTGTGAAGCAGTATATAAGTCTAAGGGCTATTGCTATCAGGTAGTAAGTATTTGCACAATCTGGCCATCCATTTCCCCATTTTTTAAATTTGATTTTTTTTCCCATACCAGGTCACTTGCCACCACCTACCTCCTGTTGTTTCCATTATAATCGCAGAAATCAATGTAGTCAAGATAAGCATCCGCAAAATATAACCGTTTGCTGGGATAGTCAATGGAGAGTCCGTTGGGCCAATAGATCTGGGCTGACTCTGTAAACCGCTTAGAGAGGGCTGTAAAAGCACTGTAAAGCGGTGTATAAATCTAAGTGCTATTGCTATAGATGCCATTTAAATACTTTGTCTCTAAGAGGCTTGTCTCTTTTGTCTTCTTGAGGGCTGGGCTTATTTCCTGCTAACATGGCATTTAGTCATACAATAAGAAATTATGGAAGCTGCAATCCAACACATCTGGTCAGCCCAAGACTGGGGCAATATATTGTATAAAACATTCCACTACTAATGTGGATTCAAAAAGTTACATTATATCAGAACTGGTTTACAGTCTAATGTTCTTTCTGGTTTTAATCTTCCTTTGAAAATAAGTATTTTGGTTACATAAAACTTAAATTAAGTATAGAGAACTAGGGACATGCAGAAATACTTGTAAATTGTTTTTAAGATTAAACTTTTTAGTTTAATATGCTTGAGTAAGATGTAACAGTACTATTAATACAGCTTTTGATAATGTTTGCTCTTAGAATTACAAAAACACAGCTTTAAGAAGGTTTCAGAGAAAAAGTTATGAAAAGTAAGAACAATGAGAAGAACTTGGACATGATGAGAAACTTTGGGACTTGAGTTTATCACCAGAAATTAATTCACATTTTAAAACTACTGTTTTTTATTGAATGTTGATATGACTTATATCAAACATTTCTATTTTGTATTTCTTCAAGTAAATTCTATATATTAATCCACAAGCTTTAAAGGGCATAATTGTTTGAAATATTTAGACATTCATGTTTCTTCCAGAACAGACACCTGGCTATTATATGTTCAGCAAAATTTTATAGATTCCAGATTTTTTCTCATAATGTTACCAGTATGTAATAATAATAATAACACCAGTTTTATATACTTTAATACATATGTTGAATGCCTTTGCATGTCACAGATGTCTTTCATCACAAAAGTTGTCATTTACAAAGTGATGCACACATAGATAATCCTGGTAATTTTGGGCAACACCATGACTCATAAATATTTATAATCTCTACATAAACATTTGCAATGATCTTATGAAGTGGTATTCATATAATCCAAGGAGATTCAATGGATTCTTTTCTTTTCTTTCAATAATAACTGTGGAAACAATCATTGGTAGTTCTTAGCCTGTGTGGAAGTCATAGCACATTGTAGAAAGTTCTCAATTTGTTTTATTTTATTTTGTTCAGATAATTCTTGTGCTACATCAGCCTTCACCTGTAGAAATGGCCAGTGCATTCCCGCTCGGTGGCGATGTGATAAGCATAATGACTGCCTAGATAATAGTGATGAACTTCATTGCCCTACACAGGGCCCAACATCTTGTCCCACAAACCTGTTCACTTGTGATAACAGCAAATGCATTCCCAAACTCTGGCTTTGTGATACTGATAATGATTGTGGCGACGGGTCAGATGAAAAGAACTGCAGTAAGTATAAGAAAGAGGTGGACTCCATGAGTTGTAGCCATGTGGATGTGTTTGTATTGTAAGTCTCAGAATTCTTAGCGATACAGGCTATGGCCAGGGCTTTTAGGAGCTGTAGGTCTTAAACAAGGGGAGGGCGCAGTTTTTCTCATTTTACTCTAGAACATTTGGGGAAAAAGTGATTATTTGTGTATATGTTTGTGGGTAGTGGTGAGTGCATGCATGAAAGATATTGTATTAAATTGGACCTATTTTTTAAAAATTGTATTTATAGCCTTCACAGATGCATGTGAATTCGGTCAGTTTCAGTGTCCTGATCACAGGTGCATTGACGCATCTTATGTTTGTGATGGAGATCAAGATTGTGTGGATGGAGCAGATGAACATGATTGCAGTTAAGTATCAGATCAGTTGCTTTCTATTTTTTAAAAGTTATGCTGATTCAACATAATCACTATAAACAATAAACTTATAAGAACTTAGCAGATAAAACTAAGTACTATAAGAACAGATAGTTGTTCAGATACTGGGACTTCTCCATATCTTCCCCTGAGGCTGGAATAAGACAATAAACCATGGCTTTTATTGTTGCTGCATTCCTTTACTCTCCCAAATCAAAAAATCTATTGTGTCCTCTTTGAAGTCAAAAAGATTGAAAGGCAATGCTCAGAATTTTCCTAATTTTTCCAATATATCTGAAACTGGATAAAGGTAGAGACCCGTGATGGTGAACCTATGGCATGCGTGCTGGAAGTGGCACACAGAGCCATTTCTCCAGGCACGTGAGCCATTGTCCGTTGCTCTTCTGGGTTCTGGCGTGCCGGCCAGCTGGTTTCACGCATGGGAGCGTGTGCTGGGTGATTTCTCTTCTAGTTTCTGGCACGCACATGTGCACCACCCAGCTGCTCTATGTGCACGCATGCACAAACTGGAAGACCAGGTGGCCGGTATGCATGCACACGCCACAAACTGGAAGATCATCTTTCTGGCGCGTACTTCCGCGGCTGCTCTTCCGGTTTCCGACGCGTGCACACGCTCCCGTTTCGGCACTTGGTGCCAAAAAGGTTTGTCAACACTGGTATAGTTCATTTCCCTCCAGTCTCCAGTCTAACGAAAATATTTTGGGATCATTAGATGCTCCAAAGAGAAAATGTATACATTGTATAGTTAGATTGCTTTGACATTGTAATGAAATTACCCTCAGAATTCCTCACTCTGTGTGAGAGCTCTTTAGAAGCTCTTGAACTTCAGATGCAGTGATCCAACTATGTAGCTTCTTCCTTTGGATCCAAAGAAAGAAAGAGAGCGAGAGTTCTTTGTACTGTTTCCTATTGTGTTCTCACTCTTTAGTATGACTAATATCAACTTGCTTAAAATTCTCATGGTTCTTTTCTGTTTTACTGTAGTCTACAACTGTACTTCTACTGAGTTTAAGTGTGCAAATGGAAACCAGTGTATTCGGAACTATTACCAGTGCGATGGTGTTTTTGACTGCAATGATCATTCTGATGAAGCTGGTTGTCGTAAGTATAAACAAATCCATTTCCGTATTATTAATGAAGTGAACTTTACGAAAAAGGGTTAGAAAGTCCTGCTCCAGCCAAGAGGAAATGGTGGCAATACCTGATATTTATGCACCATAATGTAATCTTCTTAGTGACAACATGACATGGGATTAGTGGTTATGCATCTTCTGGGAAATAGTTTTACAGTTTTAGAAACAAGTTTAATTCAGATGTAATGCCTTATGAGAATTTTTTCCCACTGATTTAAATGATTAGATTCAGAGTCTAAAAATAAAGATTAACCCCACTGAAAACGATGCCAATAGGAGAGAAATATATTTGAGTAAATAAAAATAGTTAATTACGACAAAGTATAGGTAGTATAATCATTATTTCAATATATTTAATGATCATATGCTGCCCGTGTGCATTTTAATACATGCAGACATTTCTTTCTTAAAACTTTTTTCTCAAAAGTATGTTATATCTCTTGTTGCACATTGCAACCACATAAATTTTCTCAAGTAGAAATATCCTCTCTAAAGAATGCCCTTCTGCACATGCATTTTCTTTTTCTTTTTAATTCAGTAATTCATATCAGAAATAGCAATCGCCCTTAGACTTATATACCGCTTCACAGTGCTTTTGACAGCCCTCTCTAAGCGGTTTACAGAGTCAGCCTGTTACCCCCAACAATCTGGGTCCTAAATAATTAATGATCACTGCCTTTCAAAACATATTAGATATTGATTTCAGAATGCAGGTACAAACACATACACACAGACACAAAGAGAGAGAGACAGAGAGGCAGAGAGGCAGTGAGAGAGAGAGACAGACTCAGAAATTAAAAGTATAAAGAACAATTTGCCCCTTCCTCCTGGAACCTCTTTGTATGCTATCCACATCTGTTCAAAAGGGGTGAAAGATCCTTTTGATCATATGTAAGGGGCAGGCACTTGGAGAGCAAGAGTCCTAAATTTTCAGCGAGTGGCAGATATTCTTATCCAATTGGATGCAGTCCTATACTATACCATGGAATGACTATACGTTCAGTAAATTACTGGGTAGGTTTTATATTTAAAAATAGAGTTAAGTTCTTTGAAGAGTTCAACTCATATAAAGATCTTCTAAACGCTATTTGTTGAAATTGAACTCCACCCCCACATAATATTTGCTTTACTACATGTGCAAATGAGCCTTGGTGTTAATACTTCCAGGTAAACTACACAATTTGCTGTTTGCTTTTTGCCTTGATGGGGTCAACACTTTGTTAGCAGTATCGCTTTAGTGATTCTTAAAGATCAAGACTTACATTTATTCTTGATTGTCTGGTTACTTTTGCCTTGTTTGCTGAGGATGAAGGATGGTTGATTAATAACAATCGGAATAATCTCTGCATCCTTAATGTGACTTCCAGCTACAAGACCTCCTGGAATGTGCCACCAGACTGAATTCCAGTGTCAATCAGATGGCAACTGTATCCCAGCTAGTTGGGAATGTGATGGTCACCCAGATTGCGTGGATGGCTCTGATGAACATCACAGGTGTCCACCTAGGACCTGTCCGCCTTCTCTTTTCCGCTGTGACAATGGAAACTGCATCTTTCAAGCTTGGGTCTGTGATGGCGACAATGATTGCCGGGATAGGAGTGATGAGAGGGACTGCCCAACCCAGCCTTTCCGGTGCCCCAGCTGGCAGTGGCAATGCCCAGGTCACAGTATATGTGTAAATCTCAGTAAAGTATGTGACAATCTTGCTGATTGCCCTAATGGAGCTGATGAATCACCCCTATGCAGTAAGTATATATTTAATGTACAGTGCAAAGAAAGCCTTCAAAACCTACTTGACAAAGTCACTTAAATATCATTGCTTAACCTCATAGGTTTATGGTAAAAATGCAAAAAGAAAACTATATCTTATGAAGTTCTGACTTTTCGGAAAAGGGCTCTTGGATTATATTATTATGAATGAGGTCATTCCTCATTTTTATTCTCTCACTAAATGCATGCAATAGGGGAAGCTGAGAGAAAAAGACTGGCCCAAAGGACCTGCTGTCTTGTTTGGGGCCGTTTTTCGCCCTCCCCAGCCTCCGGAGGCTTTCCTGAAGCCTGGGGATAGCGAAAATGGCCTCCCTGGCCCCCTCGGAAGCACATCCGGAAGCTGGAAACGGATCATTTCTTAACTTCCTGTTGGCCCATTGGGCCTCTTTTTCTCCTTCCCCAGCCTCTGGAGGCTTTCTTAAAGCATGGGGAGGGTGAAAATGGCCTCGCCCAGCCCTCAGGAAGGCTGAAAATCAGCTGGCTGGTGTGTGCATGCATACTGGAGCTGATGGCTGGTGTGCCAGCAAATATGGTTCCGTGTGTACATAGATTCACCATCACGGGTATAGTTGGACTTGAATCCAAATTTCCCTGGTTTCAGCCCAACAGTCTTCATGACTGCATCATATTGAAATAAAAAAAATATTGCATATAGTTTTCTGATTGCTGGAAATAGCATTTAGATAGTAGCTAATTTGGCCTGTGTGATCAGTGGCTAACTTGCTGCAAATGCAAACACGTTTGAGTATGCTTTTTATGAATGCGTTACTTAGGACACTTAAACTTTAGTATGTTTCACTTGGGCTTTACTATTCATTTCTTTAAAAACATGCTATGTTTATAATTTAAAACTGGGACTTAATCAGTAGTTGCTTTTAATTTAAATCAAATTTAAGCCAATCTTTAATATTTCCTTTAATATTTCTAACTTTTATCTGATTTTAATCTTCAAATTTGCAAGTGGCAGAAGTAACGTTGGTATTGATTACTGACAATGTTGATTTAAACTTAATTCTAACTTCTTTCTTTCTTTCCTTCCTTTTTCTAATCAATCAATGCACAATCTCAGATGAGCCTCAGCCAGGTATGATGCTAAAATCATATTAGATTCACAGCTTAATAGATTCAGATTGCATGTGAAATGAATGATTGTTTACAAAAACAGGGACATTTGCTTTGATTGAGATTGTTCTTTCAGAATTGCGTATTTGAGTGTAAGAACTCTACTAGATCAGAGTAACAGCTCATCAAAGCGAGCTTTTTGTGTCTTCCTTGACCTATTAGATGCCCTTAAGAAATCCTTAAGCAAGACATGAGCATAGTAAAATGGTTTACTTGTGTTTCCTGTTCTCTGACTTACCGTATTTTTCAGAGTATAAGATGCACCTCCCCCCTAAAAAAGAGGGTTAATTCTTATACATTGAATACAGCATTTTTGGCCTCCCAAAATGGATGTGCAGGAGGTTTGGGAGGCTTGCAAAGTGCTCCTGGGGTCCGGGGAGGCCAAAAATGGGCTGTTTTTGCTCGCTTTTGCCTCCCCAGCCCCCAGGACCACTCTACAAGCCTCCCAAAGCCTCTGCATGCCCTTTTTTGTTGTTGCAAAAAATAAGGCATGCAGAGGGTTTGGGAAGCCTGCAGAGTGCAAAAACCTTTTTTTAGATTTACCTGTTCAAAATCACGGTGCATCTTATACTCCAGTGCATCTTATAATCCAAAAAATACGGCATTTATTAGGTGATTATTTTATTAGGAATCAGCCATAATACTCCTTGTATTACCAACCAATCACCTTTTCAGATAACAGTCAACTCATCCTCCTTGTATGTCACGTTCTTTGACATCTCTTAATTCAAATGTAATTCCTTTTTTGAAAGCACAGTTATTTATTAAGAAGAATGGGATGGCTTTCCAAGAATTTCAGAAACTGAATCATTTCCCATCTGCAACCAATAAATTTCAAAGTACATTAGGATGGAATTTTCCTTATTTTTGTTGATTGCCATTCTGCAAACAAGTGAATTTGTGTGTCTTGCTGCTCTTGATGAAGGAACTTCCATATGGTCATTTATTAAACCACGTCTTGAAATCTTATCAGTCTGGGAGACAAACATGACTATGATCCAGATATCTTCTTCTTCCTAGCATATTCCCACAGGTGCATGGTCCCCTTTTTGGATCATTGAACGCCACTTTACACGGTCTACAGGGCACAGGCCCGCATCTTGCAAATCTTTGTTGATGGTATCTTGCCATCTCTGTTTTAGATGCCTACAAGGTCACTGGCCACTGACTTCTAGTTGGTAGGCAGTCTTGGCTATGATGGAAGGTATTGCTCTCTGGACATGTCCATGCCAGCAAAGTCGGCCTTCTCTCATCTCTAATTGGTGCCACACCAAAGTGTTGTTGAATTTGTGATGTGGTCAAGAAGGGAGATGCCTGATATCCAATGGAGCATCTGCATTTCTATGGCATGGAGATAGCTTTTGGTCCCCATTGTTGCTGCCAAGCATTCAGTGCAACAGGGCAGATTTACAAGATTTATCTTGTAAATCTTAAATTTAATGATTCAGTTATGATCCAGAGATGCCTCTACAAAATTTTAATCTATTTCTATGTATACGTAGGAAACCAGTTGTTTCATTTCAGATGTAGCTTGTTCTCATATTCCAAGCACCCCAATATTTGGTGGAAAAGGGAGAGCATATGACCTTCTTTTCATATAGGAGGTATCCCAGTATTAATGAATATGTTCTCTGACCTAGGCTTCCTTAAAAAGCATGAAGCAGACTCTTGGTCCCAGCAAAACCTCTTTTATTTACATGACTGTGAATTCCTTTCATTCACAGTCAGCAAGGCTTGGCAAACAGTCTTTCAGAGGAATATTTATCAACACAAACCTTATCTTGCTTGGCGAGCTGCCAGGTAATTAGTTTCCAAGCTCAGGGCAAGGCAACACTTGGCACAGATTCTCTTATATTTACAAACAGAACTTTCCACTCTTCAAACGGTCGAAGGAACGAATTGTTTCCTGCAAAAGTTCACTCCCCCATCATTCCTATTTTGTTCCCT